CTCATAAGATTGGAAGCTGAGAGGGACCTGGGGGATCATCTGGTGCATTTCCCTCATTTTAAAAGATGAGGAAACTGGACCCAGTTCGAGTACAGTCACACCAGTGTAAACACAGAGCTGAGACTTTAACCCAGATATTTCCATGCCAAACCCAAGGCTCTTCCATCTTCTTTTCTTCACTTTTCTTCCTCTCTTCTTACTAACTTTGCAATGAGCAACTCATGAAAAGTCTGATTTTGCTCTTAATTCATTCTGCCTAGTGCAGCTCTTAGGCCATAATAAATTAACTGACTAATGGGCTACCCAGGCACTTCTAAATCAGTAGCTCTCAGGGCCGTCTGGCCAGCAGCAGGGCACAGACTGCTCTGACCCAGACACTGCAAACCACAGAACCCCCCATTCAAGTGGACTGCATCCAGGACTGTGCATCTAAGAAGCATTTCTCTACTTCCCATCAATAAAGGTAGGTAGGCAGTCCCAAACAAAGCAAACACCCCTATCTCATCGGACCACAGGAATTCAAAGTTGGAAAGCACCACTCAAGTCCTGTAGTCCAAATTCTTCATTTTACAGATGAGGAAAACTGAGGCCAACAGGGCTCACTTCCCTCCCTGAGGTCTCACTTTAAATCATGGCTTTTCTACTGAGGGCACCTGTATAGGTCACATTTCTCTATCAGCTCCCAAGGAAGCTTTGTGGTTTCAGGGGAATGTTTCTGCTTTCAAACCCATAAAAACCATGATGTTCTCTAGCTCAGGACACGAATGGCAAGTTCAGCTGAACAAAGGCACCTCTCAAATTTAAAGGGTGCTTAGACGTCTGTGAAATGAATGACTCTGAATGAGCCACGAGGAGCAGCCCTGAGATGGCCAGGCGAGGGACAGTAGTCTGAAAGCTCTTGGCCCTAGGCACTCTCTGAGGCCAACATGGGCAGAAGCTTAGGGCACAATGAAGCTCAGCTCACACCACTGGGTCACTGAAGACACTGCCTTTCCTTAGGGCTAATCACAGGATCACCACAGCAGTGTGACAGTTAAGCTACGAGCTCATTTTCCATTCTAAACCCTTGCTTTACACTTGTCTGAAACTTGTGCAAAAAGTAAATTTTTCTGTGGGGAGTCTCAACACCAATTTTGACTTGGAAAAAAAGAAAATCTTTTAAAATTATTTAAAAATAATCTGGAAGTTTAATAAAGGTCAAAACGACCTCCTCAGATTCTTTAACAAGACGTATTAATCAGTAAATCTAACAAGTTCTTTGTTTAAAAGAAATCAGCTTCCAGAAAGAATGGCAATGAACAGCTATGTAGCTATTTAAGTAGTATTTATGTAGCACTTTAAGGTTTGTAAAAATAACAATAATACAACTATAACCTCATTTTATCTTCATGACAACCCTGAGAAGTGGGTGCTATTATTACTCCCATTTTACAGATGAGGAAACTAAGGCAGACAGAGGTTGTGACTTGATAGAGTCACCCATCCGGGAAGTGTGGCCAGATCAGGACTCCCTGACCCTGGGTCAAGTTCCCTGTAAGAACTGAAAACATAACCCAGTCCACCACTCCCACACATCACTGTTATGCAAACTTCTTAAGAAATAAAGGAAGGACTCAATCTTTATTGACTGGGTGACTTTTAAAAACCTAATTGCAAAACACACTAGCTCCCCCTCCTAAAAAATGTACAAAGTACACAGAATGAGACTGAAACTACACAGAGACCCTGAACTGAACACGACTCGGTCCTGTGGCATAGCCCACGTATACAGACTGCGCAATGAGCTTAGCTGCCGTGTGTCTAAGCAATAACCAATCCCAGACCTTCCTTCCATCACAACCTACTGGTTTCTATTCTCCAAACTCTGGGGTGAAATCCTCTTCACTGTAATGCAAGCACTGCTGCTTTTATCTGCTCGCTAAGCTTCCAGATCACCAGGCGCATGGGCTTCTGATTCCATCTTTAAATGTACTTCTGCAGACAATAGATGTTCCAATCTTTCCAAATTTTAGGGGCAGGGGAAATGAGGTCAGATTGTTCACTGCTTCCCAAAGCTAATCAACAGTGGGGATTTATGAGGTCCTGAGCTAGCTAGAGGTCACAGTGCTGGTGCCTCCTGAGACACACACGAACTCTGGGTCTGACAGTCACCCCACTCAAGCCCTGAAGACAGACCCACAGAAGGTGCCCTAGTCCGAGCTTCTTTGTACAATACTGTACAGCTGAGGAAACTGAGGCCTAGAGAAGTTAAATAACTTTCCCAAGATCACACAGATCCAACAGCAAAGCCAGGGCTCTGCTACTGTGACATATCACCTCCGAAATCATAGAGTTCAGTTGCCACAATCTGGTATTTCTCTAACCCTTCAGGTTTGGCACATGACTGGGCCAACTTTTCACCTGTTGCTTAAATATATAAAATATTAGATAATATATGTTATCAACAGTAATAGCATAGATATTGAACAAGGAGAAGTATTGAATACCTTTACCACAGTAATTTTTTCTAGCTGATAAAAGAAAAGTAGAAGACAGTCAGGAAAAGAGCTTTTCATTCTACCGTCAGTTAGATAAACAAGCTAATAATGAAGAAAACAGGTCTGTTTTTTAATTGACATTCATTCTTTCCTGAAAGTAAATTCCTAAATTTATCAAAAACGAGAGCAAAATATTTACATTTTAGAAAATAGGAAAACAGCACAAATGTTCAACAACACAAGAATAAATAGCCAACTAAGACATATTAGCATAAGGGAAAATTTTATAGTTATTTTGAATATCAAGAAGGTGGCTGCTGAATCACAGAAATGAATGTGTGAACCAATGTTAAGTGAAAAAAGTAAAGCAGAAAATAGGATGTACACTGATTGTAATTACACAAAAGTATGTCTATACACTAACTAAAACAGAGACTGTGCAGTGATGTACACAGTTAAGTTTGGGCAGTTGTGAAACCAACAGAAGTGCCCCCAAGAATGTGCAACAGAGAGAGCACAAGACATCTGAAGTCAGACTGTTCCTTTCACAAGGCCCCATCTCTGGGCAAGCTGGGAGAAACTGCTCTGTCACAATTTTTTTTTAATGAGCAAAAACACAAAATAGAATCAAAGACAAAACATGTTCCCCATCACTTGACTCCAAATGTAGCTTGAGAAGAGGTGAATTTTTGCTGGTAAAGAAATTCACCCTGAGGTCTTTTGGTCCACAGCTATAAAGAGGCTGATGGCAGACATATCCTCTTAAGACTTCATCTCGACAGGCATCTACAAAAAGAGCTGTTCGGACAAGGCAGCTGCTAAAGTCTTTTTCAATTCTAATAATTTCATACAATTCTAAGACCCTGGTCAGCATGATTCCCAAAGTGAGAAATGAAGCAAACTGATCTGTCCAGATTCTTGTTTTCCTAAGCTTTATATGAAGTGTCAAGACAGTGAAAGGTCACAGGTTACTCATCTTCACAAGACTACACAGAAAATCCAACTCCAAAGATGAATACAGAAATCTGACTGTTCTGTGGGTCTCTGTGGCCCCCAACCCATCACCATTTACTCTGATGCTTTAAGAGCAGATGAGGCTCATCCCCAGCCTTCTGGGCGTGGGAGAAGCAGGGCTCTGCCACCAAGCCCCACCTCCAAGTCACAAAACAGAATCCAAGCAGGGCATTGGTGGAAAGCCTATAGAAAGGGCCAAAGAAACCTTCTTGCAAATTAAGCACAAGAAATTGCTTGGAGATCTTACAGAAAGACATGGGCAGAACACGTTGGATGAGAGAGGGAGAGAGAAAGAGAGAGAGAGAAAATGTGCTGGTTTGTGTGTTTTACATCTGCAGCAGGGAAGTTATAGTACCCAGAGCAATGAGATCACAGATCCACCTAAGTATTTGTGTTTTATGAGAAATCGTGGCATTTTAAGTCATTTTTAATTAGAGGGCGAACACTAGGCCTGTTTAGAGGTGGCAAAGATGAAAAGAATTCCTTTAGCTAAAGGAAGGGATAGGGATTGACCTGGGGAACTCCCCAGTGAGGCAGCTCCTGCTCCCAAAAGCAGGTCAGAACCTTCCCTGGAATGTCATGGAGGAGCTGTCAGGAGCACCGAGAGGCCCAGTGACTTACCCAGGGTCACACAGCCAGGACGTGTCAGGGGTAGCACCCGAACCCAAGTGTTCCTGGCAGGGCAGGTAAAAAGGGGAGCAGAGAGAAGAGGAGGGAGCTGCTTGGCCTGCAGACTTGAGTCCAAAGCTAGCCTCCAACACTTACTATGTGACCCTGGGTAGGTCACTTAACCTCTGTTTGCCTCAGTTTCCTCATCTGTAAAGTGGGGATAATAATAGCCCCTTCTTGCCAGGCTTTCTGTGAGGATCAAATGAGACAATATTTATAAAGTGCTTGGCACAGGGCCTAGCACAAATGCTGGCTATTACTTGCTCAGGAGGTCAAGTCACAGATGAGGATGCCTGCCTCCTGGTGAGCAGGGGAACAAAAGACAAGTGGTGTATTCTCCAAGGACGTTTTCATCAAACTGCACATGTATAAAAACACCTGGAAGCCTGCCTTCTAAAATGGAAGCATGTTCCCAGCAGCATGTATAAAGGGTCACACTATATTAATTTTTTTTTTTACAGAATACATTCTTGCTGGCCAGTGCTGGTGGGACCATCACACCTGTTTCTCTCTCCTGCACTTCTCTATCTCCCAGGAGCACAGCCATGATGTTGACTCCTGGTGCCAGTCCCTATTTGCTTACTGGTCCACGCCTTTGCTGATTCTCTTTTCTCATGTTGGTTTAAATGGGCTTCTGATGTTTAATAAAAACCTCAAAATCTATCCGATCTTGAGCTTCAGCAACACCCTTCCCAATCAGTACAATCCCCAAAGCTACTAGGGGTATTACCTAATTACAAATTCCAATTACTGTACAGGATCCATACATGTAGGGTCCCAGTGTGAGGCAATTTTTAGAAATCTAGGTGGGATTACTTGGTAAATACTGAATTACATTACCTGATGAGCACAGCGCCTTGGAGGTGGATTGGGGATTTCAACTTTTGTCCAGGTATTCTTTCTAATACTGTAGAAATATAGTTCATTGTATAAAAAAGTCTGCAGAAAGGAAGCAAATGATTTGTTATAAACAATTTTCTTCATGAGACAAGCGACAGTTAAATGAAAAAACAAAATTTCAAATATCAAATTACACTTAACAAATTTTCTCCTAAAACAAACAACAGGGAAATATCCCAAAAAGGAGGAACTGGAGTAAGCCAGCAAAAATCATAGTCTACTTTTAATCCTAACAAAGCATAAGGCATACTTCACAAATCTAAAACAGAAATTGTATTCAGTTAATACTACAATCCAGCTGCTCCCGGGGTAAACCGATTGTTCCTATCCACTCTCAAGGGCCCTCTGTGATGTCCTTTACTAGCACAGGGTCAGAGGATTTAGATCCTTTAGAAGGATCCTAAGCCCCCTTTTACAAGGAAGGACAATAAAGCCTCAATGTCCAGCCACTTGCCCTTGGTCGCCCACTGAACAAGCAGCGGAACTGGGATTTCCACTCGGGTCCTCTGCCTCCAAATCTGGCCTGGCTTGCTCCCTATTGCACTATGTTGTCTAAATGAATCTACATTCAGGGCCGCAGAAGTGACAGGTGCCATTCTGAATATAGCAAAATATTGTCTAAGCTGTAATACTAAAATATTCTTTATCTTCTAAAAAAGGAAGAGCACAGACAGAAGCAAGGACAGCTTCCCTAAAACCATTATACTAGAACCCTATTCTCCAGAGCCTTCCTACGCAGGAGAAATTCAACCTCTTTCAGTTTAAAATTCTGCTCTGAACATACAGGAATGTGAAAATGTTTCCCACCAAAACTAAGGTAAAGATGTTCTTTCCACAGTGTACCCCACCCCAAAGGCTCCATGGTATTTCAGAGCAAAAGTCAAATATGGGAATAAGGTGGGCCTGCCAGGCACAGAACTTAGGGAAATGATGGCTCACTTTCTCATGTATCAGGGCTCCTGGTAGACAGCTTTATCAATGGTGAAGGCCATCATAAAAGATGAAAAAGGTAAGCACACAGGAAGAGGAAGCAACCACAGCCAAGCCATCAGAAATAGATGGAAGACAGATGTAGGGGCATCTACACTTGACCTTGCTAGAAGATGCCACAAAGCTTCCTTTCCACTTAAAGACAAAATAACTGTACTATAAATACTAATAACAGCAACAGCTGGTATTCATAGAGCACTTTAAGATTTACAAGGCCTCTACACTGATTCATGGGAGCCCAGTCACAACCTCTCCAATCCGCCTCCCGAAAAGCACAGGTCTGACCATAGCGCTCTCCGGCTCACTAAACTGAGAGGCTACGTCTAGGTGGCAAATTTCTCTTTTTTAGCATTTAGCTCTTTCAGCATTTAAACCTTCAGAGTGAGCAGTTAGGAAAACATAAAGATTACAACAATGTAAATGGAAAGAAAACCACAAAACTATAAAAAACGAATGCTGCAACATTATAAAGGCCAACAACAACAATGAGAACAGTGCTTTACCAATCCCATTTCATTTCACCCTCCCAACCCCCTGCCTCTGGGTCATGGCATGCACCTCCTCCCCATTTCCTCTTGGAGCTCTGTGATTTCTTCTAGGTCAAACGCCAGCTCCTACAAGATGCCTTACCTAACCCCCACAATGGCTAGAATCTCCCCCTAGAAGTTACCTTGTAATAATTCCTTATGTTCTTTCTTACGTGTATAAACGTTGATCTCCTTCCAAATCCCCCTGAGCACTCCTGCCATGTAGCTAGTGCTGGATAAATGCTTATGAATTGACTAAAAACAGGTACTAGACGGTTCCTAAACCATTTTACAAATGCAGAAAATAAGAGGCAGAGAATATAAAAGCAGGATCCTAAGCTATGCCCTTCCTGCCTCTAAGTCCTAGACCATGTTGCCTTTCAAAAAACTAAGAGATAAAACTGAAGGAATAACAATTTAAGTCGAGCAGATGAGAGAACACATAGCACTTGGCAAACCTTAAAGCAGCGTATGAATTTCGGCTAGCAGTTAAGTCAAGGACCTGTTGATTTCAAAGATACAAGGAATTCTCCAGTGAGGAAAGCCCCTCTCCCAGGGCAGACAGGCACCATTTCTGTACCTGATATTCTTAGGGAATTGCCTAGAGCATTGAGGATTGAAGTGCTTGCCCAGACACATGAGCAAGTTATGTGTCAGAGAAGAAACTGAACCCAGGTCCATCTGGCTCTCTGCACTAGGCCACTAGAATTGGCAGCAGCAGTAAAGGCATCAAATTTATAAATGCATGAGCTCTAACAGCGGAGGACCGGGCACAAAGAAGTGGAACTACAGTCCAAAGGAGAGATGAGAGAAAATAACTTTGTACGGTCTGCCTCTAAAGAACAGTAACAAGTGGGAATCACGGTGCTGATGCTGATGCCCCTCCATCTCAAGGGTTCTAGGAGGCTCAATAGAGCCTCAGGGGCCTGCTCCTGGTCTGAGTGTGTCTAACGGGTCAAAACCACTCAATAAAGAGTAAATAAAAGTGTGCAAGGGCAAACAACAATGTGCTAGTGTGAAACAAAATTTATCTTTAGGTCTACTACTAAAAAAAAAAACAGCATGAGATTAGACATGGATTACACTGAAAGTAGAAACCACCACATTTGCCTCCACTAAGAAAGATGAGCAGAAGAGTCAGACACAGATCTCTTTTGAACTCAATTTGATTTCAAATGAAATAGGAATGGAGATACTGGGGGAAAGAGCATGACTTTGCTAATGACCATGCTCGGAAACTCTTTATCTTTAACCTCCCAATAGGATCTGGGGGAGCTAGATTTTCCAGGCTCACTTTGTTCTGACATCCAGGAAAAGGAAAAGTCAGTGGGGCACTGCTGTGTCCAGGAGGACTGGGGTCAGATTCCAGGAGAGCAGACTGAGTGGGAGGCATACTGCTTTCACTGGAGCACCCACAAAACACCTTAGCCTGATGAAAAATCAAAAAGCGGACGTTGGTTTATTAGAAATGTCCTTATTCACAGCATTTGGGGGGCCAGCACTGACAACGCATTTTCCTTAAAAACAAACCACTCTCCACCTTCAGGGAGAACACCCATCAGTTACAGATGAAGATGTGCACTGGTCCCTTTGAGTCCCAGAAACAAAAAGTTGTGACGCAGCTGGGCAGGGAGAAAACTGGTGCCAGGCAAGCGGAAGACAAAGGACAGACAGAGTCTATGACAGCCCAAAGAAATGATGAACTCCTGCAATATTGATGCCAACACAGTCACTCCATTCCCTTCATGGAGCCCAGTTCGACTTGTCAAGGACAATGGTTCACATTTCTTCTGACAGCTCAGATGGCAAGACAATATGAGAAGGGAATTAAAATTATTTTTCTCTCATTCTAGGACAAATGCATATTTCATGATCACTGTATCAGAGATTCATTTTTACTAAAATGAGACCCATGAAAATGACAGTGAGGGGGAAAAAAAGAGAAAAAAAGTATACTTTACTTTTTGGCCATTGAAATATTCACCTCCAAAAAGGATTAATTCATCTTTCTCAGGATGAGGAGACAGGGAAGCATTCAACCTGTAAGAGAGACAAAGATAAGCATCACCTCCACAGAAAGACCCCGACGAAGACACCTCATCCTGGAGACATGACTCCTGTGTAGGACCAGCACCGGCTCCCACCCTCGCCCTTTCGCTTTCTCCCCTTCTTCAGCACAAGCTTGGACGTCACCACCAATGAACGCCATCACTTTTAAACTCAGATAAGAGAAAAAAAATGACTGAATGTAAAACATCTTGAGCACCACAGCAGAAAGTCCCCACCAGCTGCTTAGCTAGTCCACTGGGAAGCGTCTGAGTTTGACTCACAGACAGCGCTAAGGACGTATGAAGTCTTTATGGATATATCTCCCCTCACCTCCCAAAATGTAGCTCAATGGATGCATATTACTCAAGTCCTTCCTCTTGGTCAGTCAGTAAGCATTTATTAAGTAGCTACTACATGCCAGGCAGGCACTGAGCAAGCACTGGGGATGTCAAGACAAAAGATGGTCCCTGCCTTCAAAGTGCTCACAATCTAACGGAAGAGAAAACATGTAAACAATTATTAGAAATAAATTAAAGATAATCAATTGAATGAAATCTACCACAGATCCCAAGGTACTTGATCAAAAATGATATTTCCTACCAGAGTCCTCTGCTCCATCTACCTTCTTAATGAACACAAGTCACAAGGAAAAGCTCATCCCAAGAACACAAGCAAGCATCCATGAATGAAAAGGGCAGAGAACTGTAGGAGACAACAAGACGCCCACTGAAAGAGGTTAACAGGTCAGCTCTTCCTAGGTCTGAGTAATCAAGTCCTGTTCTGTGCACTGCAAAATGGGGTCTTATTCCTCTAGCTCGGTGGCAAAGCGGGTGCAGCGCCACACCTGGAGTCAGTAAGACCCAAGTTCAAATCCAACCTCAGACACCGAAATAACTGTGACTCTGAACAAGTCACTTAACTTCTGTTTGCTTCAGTTTTCTCAACTGGGGATAAAATGGGGATAATTATATAACCAACTCCCAAGGTTGTTATGGGGATCAAATGAGGCAACATTTGGAAAGCGCTTAGCACACTGCCTGGCACGCAGCAGGCACAATAGAAATGCTACCAATTGTTATCATTACCATCATCATCATCATCGTCACTATCACCAGGGGACAATTCGGCCAGTGACACAGTGGGCACCATTTCCTCCCCACCATCAAATGGCCCAGCAGCCTTCCTGACCCCTTCCCAAGGCTGCCTTCAAAAGCCCCCCTGCACCATCTGGCCCGGGGCTCCTGGGATCAGCAGAGGATAAGAGCAGGGAAGGAGATGGGCAGGTCAGCGGCTAAAAGAGAAAGCCACTACTTCTTCCTTCCCCTCATACAAAACTTAATTATTTTTAATACTGGATATATATTGGAATTGTCTCCCTGGAAGGGGAGCTGGGAAGAGAGTGGTCTGCAAACTGCCAAGTGAGCTTAATGAGTCATACTTTTAGCTGGAGCCCAGGACCAGTGGATTGCAAGAAAAGCACCGCCTGGGTGAGAGTAAATATTCTGCAGTCTATAAATAGCTCTCGAGGTCATCTAGTCTTACCTATTCACTGGACAGATGAGGAAACTGGAGACCGTAATGGTGACCTGACTTACCCATAATTATCTAGCTAGTCGGGAAGTGGACTCAGGTCCTGGCTCTGATACCCTCACTGATCCTAGCCTCAAACAAACGTCATCATGAGGCTCCCATCAAAGGCAGCCTTGTCCTTGGTCAGTTTTGTGCCTTTCGCTTCCCCCGATGAACTGTAAGCATGAACTGGGCTTTGTACATAGGCAGCCAGCAAGCAAATGTTTGAAGAATAAAATTGGATGAGTGATCAGATGCTGTCGAGGCAGAGAGTTACTTCTTACAATGTCAATAAAAAGTAAGAAATAAAAGAATCTCATTTCACTACTACCAAGAGAAAAACTGAAGTTGACTGAGAAGTGACTGGTCCAAATGGCCCACATTAACAGAAATGGATCTGAGGAGCACTGACTGCACCACCATCGGAAAAAACTCTCATCACAGCGGGCATCTTCTCCGGTACGTGAGAGTTTAATCAATTACAGTCTGCTTTGATCTAATGCTGTGTTCCCTTCTCGTTCACTATTTCAACATGCTTACAACTGTGGTCATAACTGAAGAAGAGAAAATCACTTCTCTGTCAGTGAGTCACAGGAAATGATGAGCGCCACCTCCTTTACCGCTCTCCTCCTGGGTTTGCAGGGCAGTGCTCTTTCCTGGCTCGGCTCCACCTATCTCGGCCCTGCTCAGTAACATCTGCCAGATGACCATGCCTGAGTAAAGCATGTATTGAGAACTAACCACGTGCAGAGCACTGTGCTATGGGCTGGGAAGACCATTAAGCCAGCGTCTGGTCTCAAGCAATGCCCATTCTAACGGGGGAGGTGGCACACCCAAGAGGTTTCAGCTGCAAATCAGATGAAAAGCCCCTTGACCTAGCAAAGCAGCAATCATGCTTCTTTCATGTCATATCCACTGATAAAATCAGATCAGCTTCTGATACGGAACCACTGGATGGTGCCAAGGGCTTTGGCAACAACAAGACTTCTCTCCAGGTCTCCGGTGGCTGTGGCCCCTGCCCCTCCCCAGACGCTTCCCAGGAGGACGGCCCAGGGCTTATTCCCTAGGCTCTCGGACTCAAGGTCCCTGGCCACCTTCCTCAGGATCTCAGGGGAGAACGAGTGGCACGTGCTGCCTTCTGTCTTTCCCTCGGGGTTCCCTGCTTGCTGCTTTAGCTGGGCTGGCCTGCCTGCCCTATGGGTGGCTGCCTGGCACAAGAGCTGCTTCCCTGGATGACAGCTATGAGCACTGGGCTGGAAACAGGACCAGTGGTCTGGGGCGGGGGGGGGGGGAGACGGCCCCTCGCTTTCCCTCCCTCGGCGGCAGCTGGTCAACAGTTGTTGCTGGCGATGAGGAGGAAGGTGGGCCCCTTCTCTTCTATTTCTCACCCACATCCCACCCCCTTTGCGAGAATACACCACAAGGCTGTCCTAGACCTTTCCTCTCTCTACTCTCCCTCATTGATTTCATCAACTCCCAAAAGTTCAGCAATCTCTATGTAGATGATCCCCAAATCTACACAGCCCTAGACTCTCTGACACATCCCAGCCCAACATTATCTCCCACCTACTGGATTATTTCCACCCAGATGTCCCACAGGCCTCTACAACTCCACATGTCTTTCTTCTCACACCTTCCCCTTTCCCTCACTTCTCCACTCGGTCACGACCCTTCCATTTCCCTGACCCTCCACACCCAAAAGCTCCCCAAGTCCTGCTGGTTCTTCCTCCACAATCTCTCCCCAACCTCCTTCTGCCCATTCTTACAGGCCCCAACCTCATCCAGGCCTTCATCACCTCTCCTAAGTGCCTCTTCCCGTCTCCAGGCTCTCCCCTGTCAAACCCATGCTCCCCACTCTAAGGCTGACCACAGCCCTGCACTGCGTGGCATGCATGGGAAGTCCTTCCCGGTCTGGCTCCACTCTTCCTTCCCAGTGCTGATGTGGTCTTAGCTCCACCAGGCTCCCTGTTCCCAGCATGTCACACAGCACTGGCACATGGAATATCATGGAATAAAGTCATTTGCTTTGCTTCAGCGAAGCAAGACTGCTCAAAGCTTTTATTAAAAAACAGAACAGCAGCAGCAGCAGCTGGCCAAGCTGGGGCTCTTTAGGCAGCGGCCTCCACCCTGGAAAGCAGGAGTTTCCCTTTTCTTGTTACATGGATCTCCCTGACAGTCTGGGAAGCTCACAGACCATCCTGTACCTACCCACCCTTCCACAATGTTTGTAAGTGATTAAGTAAAATGTATAAATTACAGAGGAAACCAATACTGAAACACCTGGAGTGAAGTGACTGACAGTGCTGATGCTAAAGGCGTGACCCCAGAACAGATTCCCTGGCAGTTTTCTTAAAGCTGGAGGCCTTCATTCTGCATTTCAGAATTTGGGTTACTGAAGGCGTGGCCTCCTCACCCTGGAGAGGCCTCTGCCCCTGCAGCCCCTTCCTCTGGCCGGTCAGTCCCTCCCAGGCAGCCATTCCTCCTGGAGCCTCTCCTCCAGCCCGTACACTTGTCCCCTCACACTGCTCGGTCCCTTTCATGTGCTGTCTCCCCCCAGGGAATGTCAGCTCCTTGAGAGCAGGGACTGTCCTCTTTGCTTGGATTTATATCCAAGTGCTTATCACTGTTCCTGGCAGAGCATATTATAAGTCCTTAATAAATGCTTGTTGACTTGACTTCCTCCTTCAGTGCCTTGGCAGGGGCTGTCTCACGTGCCTGGAATGCAATGGAAATGACTTGCCCACAGTCACAAAGCTACATCAGTCCGGACTCCACTCTCTGCAAGGGAGTTCGCCGTCAAGGGGTCTGGAAAAGCAAGGAAAGGACATAGACTCCAAGGCCGCCTCCACTACACCATCGCTGAGACCTTGGCAAAGTCCCTTCCCTTCCTTGTTCTCCACTGGTCACTGGTCAGCCGATGCAGACCTCCCAGTTCTGCCCAGGGGAGCCAATGGTCTGTTTCAGAACCCAGGGCTCTTCCCATGAGAGCGTGTGCTAAGGGAGGAGGAAGAGAAAGCATCCACATGGTGCCACCTCGCACCCTAACCCAAATTCTGAAATGCAGAATGAAGGCCTACAACTTTAGGAAAACTGCCAGGGAACCTGTTTGGGGCGTTACCGCCTTCAGCTCAGCCCCTCTGTCACTTCACACCGAGCCTCTGATTAGGTGATAATTAAATCCACTCGACCTGAGACTCGTGGAACAGAAACAAGAGGGAACCACTTCTCACTCCTCACACAGGGAAGGCCTCAAGGGCCTCGGTCCCAGCTTTGCATTCAGATTTGTGACAGTGTCATCCAGTGACTCCTAGGTCTTCCTAAGTCTTTTAGAAGAAAACAACAGTTCTGGGAAGTAAACCAAGCAGTTTCACCTGCCTCTAACAGAGGGAGAGAGTAGAGGGGGCAGTTCAATGCACACAGGATCTACAACTCAGGAGAGAAACAGCCTCCCAAGCCTGACTCCAACACTAGTGGAGTGACTGTGGGCGAGTCCTTTCCCTTCACCCCACTTCCTCATCCGCAACAAAGGGATAAAAACACTCACATTCCTACCCACACAAAAGTGGTGGGAGGAAAACATTCCATAAACTGTCAAATCTCGTGGAAATGTGAATTTCGCTGTTTTGCTGCAGCCAACCATAGGTGTGCCATCTTGTTTTCTAATCTGTTGGTGGCAAACAGAAGTCTTCCATTTTCCTCAACTCCCAAAGATTCAAATTACAAAAAATAACCAAGATTCAGAAATTAGTGATGCTATGACCCAGTCTGTTCAATACTGCATACTTTGCCACAAAATACTCGGAAACTCTATAAAAGGCTTTGGATTACTGCCAGCCAGTAGACACATCCATTTAAGACGGCTTACACACAATGCATTTTTTTAATTATAATTGCCCCTTTCACCTAAAGTTTAAAGCATTTTGGAACAAGCACAGGAAAAAACCCTCCTTGATTTTCAGTTTTCCACATTATTATACGTCTCTAAAATGCCTCTGACGGGGTGAGAGGAGGGCCTGGCAGCCCCATCATTCTTTCCTCCAAATGTTATGAGACAGGTGTTTTCAAGAATCGGCACGATTTCCCTCCCGTTGAGCATCTGTACTGGGAGGTTCAGTATTTCCACGTAGCTAAATCTCCTCACTCTCTGGTGGTGCAGAAGGGAATGCAAGTAAGCCCACTGTGGGTGATTCTGCATAGCAGCTTCTTTGATTGTAATATCTAAGTTGCTTGGTCATTCAGGAAAACCTCATGTCAACAGTCGACATATGATTCCAATCCCTGCAATGGAAGTAAAGTGTTGCAATCTCTGATGAGCCCCGTAAAGACAAAAGCTGCCCTGCTTTCTTACCTCGGGGAAGGTGGAGAGCATGGTGTCTCTATGATCTGGGTCTTTTTGGCATCTAAGGTCTGAAATTGTGCTATTAGAGCTTCCAGGTCCTCCTAAGAAGGAAGAAGTCAAAGGTAAGCATTTTTTCCCCTTAATCATAAGGGAGTATTCTCCACTTTTGCCTAATCCTCCTTTCTGATTTTAATAAAGTGTAACTTTATTAAGAAAGGCGTGACAGGCAGCAAGGTACATTGGCCACAGCTGGCCTTAAAGCCAACGAGACCGGGGCTGAATCCCCATCTCTACCACATCCCAGCTGTGGGACCCTGGGCAGCTCCTGGGGGCCGACCATCAGCTGCAGAGCAGATACTAACCTCACAAGGAGAGGGAGCTTCCTCACTTTCAAGTTCCCTATACCAATGAAATCACTGGGCCTCTCTCTGTCCCTATCCCATGCCTAGGGGAAACATGTAAACACACAGATAAATAATCACATTTTTTTTTATCCATTTAAAATATTGAAATTTTGGACACATCTTCAGAAAAAAAGAAGGAATAACCACTTGATGGGCCTATTATTTAGTGATACAGAGTAGGTACTTTAATAAATTCTGCTAAGCTGCTGGGGAGAGGGAGTCCATGGGTAGGGAATACTGCGTAGAATGTCAGATTTGTTGATTTTTTTTTTCTTCTCTATCTTTAAAAGAAATTCTTTGTTATATGGGATGGCTCTCAGGGAGGAGAAAGGAGACAGATGAGGGATATTTAAGTAATGTACAAACAAAAGATCAACAAAAATTTATTTTTTAAAAAACTACTTAATTGGGGGCAGCTAGGTGGCGCAGTGAATAGTGCTCTGGCCTTGGAGTCAGAAGGACCTGAGTTCAAATCCAGCCTCAGATACTTAACACTTACTAGCTGTGTGACCTTGGGCAAGTCACTTAACCCCATTGCCTCACCAAAAAGAAAAAGAAAAAAAGAAAAAAAAACTACTTAATTGCTCAAAAGATAAAATAGCCGAATTGAGTTAATCAAAATCCTTAAGCAAGTGGAACAGTGATTTTTCTCCAAGTCTGAATGCTACTTCAAAAAATGCTGCCTATTTGTAAATATACAGACACGTGTTTGTCTGCATGCCTCGATTATGCAACATAAATGTTTGAATTTCCTGAGTTCTTCCCCACTTACACATAGGGCAGGCAGTCAAGAACTATGGCTCCTCCAGTACACAATCAGTAGAATACCAGATGCAGCCTACATTCCAGGCTGTGGATTTTAGAAGCAAAATTTGTGCTATCCACTCCTCACCCCATTTGAAAATTTCAAGCCTGGATCCCAGACGCCTCTTCTTCAGCCTCTCCAGCACTCTAGCCTTCATCCCAAAGCTGCTCTTAGCCCTTCCTATGACCTCCAGTCTCCTTCTCGTTCTGTTTGCCTGGCCATCTCCCTGGCTCCAGACTCAGCCCTGACCCGTAGATTTGCTACCAGCACGTCTGGTTGGCCCTAGAATCACCTGCTACCTGTCTATAAGACCACGTGCCTGAGTCATCCACCACCCTAAATTCTCTGCTTCTGCCCCAAAACAAATGAATTTTACCCCCTACAAATTTATGGCACAAAAAACCTATACTGGACTTTCATTGCCGGTCAATCAACAATCAGTTAACAAAAAGTATTTATTAAGTGCTAAGTGCTAGGTTCTTAGCTAGGTGGCCAGGCCACAAAAAAAAGAAAAGAAAAGAAAAAGAAAGAAGAACCAAGCCAAATACAAGGGAGGCAGGGTCCAGAAGATGGCGCTTTGGCCATGAGGCGCAGGTGATGAGGGAGGGCATGGCCAGCATCAAGGCTCAGAGACAGGCAGATGAGGGTCCTGTGAGAGGAGCGGAAAGAAGGCCAGTCTGGCCGGACTGCACTAGGCAGGAAGGGAAGTGCTGGATAATCCAGTGGGCTGGGAGCTCCTGGAGGGCAGAGACTGTCTTCTGCCTCTTTCTGTAACCTCAGAGCTTAGCACAGTGCCTGGCACACAGTAGGAGTTTCATAAATGTTTGATTATTAATTGATCGATGCAGCTAGGGAGGTAGGCTGTGAAGGGCTTTAAAAGCTAGAAGTCTATGTGTTATCTTAGAGGAAAGAGGGAGATGCTGGAGCGGACAAAGGCAGGAAGCACTGTGGTCAGAGCTTCACTTAAGACAACAGGGATGACCAGCATAGAAGGGCTGGCCTTCTTCCAAAGACAAGGATGGCAAACCCCAACGATTCCTCTGATCTCACCTTCCCACATTCTCTCCACACCTCTCAGCACCATCCCTCTCCTCGCCTCCATCCCATTGGCCCCACAAGTTGAGTCCCTACCTACTCCCAAAAACTGATCCCTCAGTCCCATCCTACAGGCCTTCCCTCAGGCCCACTACTCCACCCACGCTCTGTGCTGTATCTCTGGCTATTTGTTCACCAGCTCCAAGCAGCAGAGCAGAGTGGAGAGAAAGCTAGCCTCAGAGCCTGATAGGCCTCAGACACAGACTGGCTGGGGGATTTCAGAGAAGGCACCAGCCAGCGCTGGGAGAGGGTGTGTCTTCACCTGGGAGGTCCCTACAACAGTGAAATCACAGGCCCAAACTCTGTCCAGTGCCTGGCACCTGGCAGTGCCTTGCACAGTCTAGGTCCTGCTTAATGCCCATTGCACTGAACTCCCCCCTTCCTCTTTTGCACCGCTATCCTTCTTGAAAAAGCTGTCCCTACCTGTCACCTCCCTCTGCCTCCTCACTGCCCACTCCACTCTCAACAAACCCTAGAATCTGGCTGCCATTCCCCCCTCTCAGAGATCAGCAGCCTCTTTTCAGGCCTCTCACCACAGGGATCCACTCCAGGGTCACCTCTCCTATTGGGGGTCCACTCCTTTGGCTCCGGACACCACATTCCACGAGTTCACCCCCAACCTCTCCAAGTTCCCCCTCTTCCTGGTCTCTCCTGGCTCTCGCCCTAAACCTGCTCTCTTCATGGCCACCCAGGACCAAAACCTTGGGGTGGTTCTCTTTGACCCTTCTCTCCCCTCATCTCCCACACCCACCTGTCTTAGCTCCCCCTCCTCTCTAGGCCCACTGCCACCACCCCAGGAGGAGGTGTCATCACCACTCTCCCAGACTACAGCAATCACTGCCCAGGGCTCCCCACCTCAGACCCCTCCTCTTCCTTAACTCCCACCAGCCACTTCCCGTCCACCTACACAAATGCCTATATCTCCCCCATCACCCAGCTAGTGGTCATCTTTGTCCCTCTTCCTTCTCATCACTAAACTCCTAAAGAAGGCTTTCTCAAGCTCTTAGCACAGGGCCTGGCACACAGTGGGCACTTAATAAACGTTCACAGCCTGTCTATAATCAGTGCCTCCACTTTCTTCCCTCTTACTCTCTTAACTCTGCCTCTGGCTTCCCACCTCATCATTCAACCCAAACTGCTCTCCTCAAAGTGACCACTCAATCACCAAATCCAACGGCCCGTCCTCAGTCCCCATCCTTCTCAACCTCTAGGCATCCTGACACTGTGGAGGACTCTCTTCTCCCTGGGCTTTTGTGACCCTGCTCTTTCCTGGCTCTAATCAGACTCCTCAGTCTCCTTGGACGGATCACCTTCCACGTCACACCTGCTAAGCCTCTTGGGGGGCTCCAAGCCCCTTCGCTTCTCTTGATAGACTCTGTTTTGCTTGATCCCATCAGCTCCCATTCAATCATCATTTTTCTGCTGATCTAGTCCTAAACTCTCCTGACCTCCCATCTCCAGCTGTCCTCCTGTCCCAAACCCTCCTCTCCTCCTAACCTCCCTATTACTGCCAAGGGCACCACCACCCTCCCAGGCACCTGAGGTCATCCTCAATCCCTCACTCCTCCCAACCCATACCCAATCAGCTGCCAAATCCTTCCAATGCCACCTTCCTAACATCTCTCCTCTGACACTGCCACCACCCTGGTGCAGGCCCTAGTATGCCAATATGGTGGCTGGCTGGCCTCCTGCATATCCCCACCCACTGCAGTCTATCTCCCCTTAGCTGTCATATTAATTCCTTCCTAAAGTGCAGGTCTAACCCTACCAACCCCCTCCGCCCCATGAAATAAACTCTAGTGGTTTCACATCACTGCTATGTGGTATTCAAAGACCTTCATAACCTGGCCCCTTCCTACCTTACTCTCCTACCACACACTCTGATATATGTGTGTGTACATTTACACACATACACACATACACGTATATATGGGTGTATATGTACATACACACATATAAGTATAAATGCATATGTACATATACATGTGGAAGTATGTGTATGTCTATATAAGTATATGTGCACATGTGTTTAGACGTGCATCGGTTTCCAGGTATGTATACATACATGTGTGTATGTACAGAGTTTACACGTAGTTGTTTGCATGTTGTTGAGACTGCGTTTGGATTTTTTATTTGGCTTTCCCTTGTATACTCAACAGTGTCCCTCAACCCATGGAGGGGGATGTTATTCCCTTTTTACAGTTGAGGAAACTGAGGCAAATAGAGGTTAAGTGACAGGTAATTATTTCCTATTAATCCTGTATATAATGTGCTTTGTTTGCATGTTCTCTACCCAATTAGACTGTCAGCTCCTTGAGGGCAAAGAGTGTTTTTTGCCTCTTTTTGTATCCCCAATGTTTCCTGAACTAATTGAACTGAAGCTGGAGGGAGGACAGATTAGAAAGGGAAAAGACTAAAACCTGGAAAAATAATTAGGAGACATTTAAAATGGTCTAGGGGAGACGGACCAAGACCCAAAAGGTACTAAGAGGTCAAATGACTTGCCCAGGATCACACAACCACGAAGCCTCAGGGGCAGGTCTTGAACCCAGGCCTTCCCGGATCCAGAGCCAACTCAGGCCAGGCTGTTTCTCCAACAATAACAATAATTCCCACGTATAGAGAATTTTCAGGTTGACAGCAACGTAGAGAGTGCAAGGGGATTGCACTCCCCCCTAGTTCTCAGGTGAAGCAACCAAGATCCTTCAGAGAAAGGGATGGCCACGCTGGGGCAGGATTAGAACCCAGGATTCTGGCTCCCAGTACCACCCTCTCCAAGCTAAGGCAGTTGGACGACACGAGTGACTTGGAGTCGGGAAGCCTGGGGTTCAAATGCTGCCTCCGACACTAACTGTGTGGCTTCACGCTCTCGGCCTCGGTTTTCCCTCTGTAAAATGGGCACAAGGCGCCCCACAAGCCTGTGGCGAGCCCCTCACACGTGCTTTTTATCGCCACCACCATCCTCATACTCCAGCCGGCCGCTCGGGGGGTGGCCCCAGGCCCGGGACGGCTGAGGCTCGAAGGCCCAGGGCAGGCCCGGATCCCGGATCCCGGCAGGCCCCGTTACCTCCTCCTTCCTGGAGCGCTTGGACACTTTCCTCTCCATCTTGGCGGCGGTCTTCTCGGCCCCCTTCACCTTCTTCTCTTTCTTGTTCTTCTTGCCCATCTTGGCGGCCCCGCAGGCGGCTGCGCGTGACCGGGAAAGCGCGGGGGAACAGCCGGCGCCACGCCCCCTCGCAGCGGCTCCCGCAGCCTCGCGGGCTCCACGCGGGACACCAGGAAGGGAGACCTGAAACTCACATGGCAACAACTCACAGGACCTGCGTCACTTCCCGTCACCGGGCCCTCCGTGAGGTCACTTCCGCCTTGGAAGAGGCGAGCTGAGGAGAGAAACTTACGGAGGAAAGTCTTCGAGAGGGGAGAGTTGGGACGAGCGCCCCCTAAGGGCGGGGAGGTCTCTCAGTCGTCACATCCTCCTCCTCCCCTTCCCAATAGCATCCTAGGGTTTAGAGCTGAAAGACCGCCTGCCCTAACAGCCTCATTTTTACGGAGGAGAGAATGGAGGCCCACAGAGGCTAGGAGATTTGCCCAAAGTTACATACAGAATGAAAATTCTCAAAAACTTGTCTTCCCCATTAGACTGGAAGCTCCTTGCGGGCAGGGACTGATTCACCTTTCTTTGTATCTCTCAGCACTCTGTATAATTCCCAGCACATAGTAAGAGCTCAGTAACAGCCCTCATATGTGGAGAGCTTTACAAATGTTATCTCCTTTGATCCTCACCGCAACCCTGAGAGATAGGTGCTATTGTTATCCCCATTTTACAGGTGGGGAAACTGAGGTTTTGAAGAGTGAAACCCAGTATCACCCAGCTAGCTAGTAAGTGTCTGAGGCTGGATTTGAACTCAGGTCTTCCCCCACTCCAGGTCCACTGCATCACCTTGCTGACTTTCAATTTCATCTGTAAAATGGCAAAAAGTGATAAGCAACTTAAACTAGAATTTTTGTGAAAAAAAATAAAAGCACTTTGTAAACCTTAAAATGATCACTTAAATTAGGGGGAAATGGGAATGCTGACCATTCCCCCACTCTCCCTCCATCAGGCATTGCCAAAAAAAGAGGGAGAAAGAATGTGAGATGAGGCCCAAAATTTAAAAAAAAAACCTACCTAGAATTATTGGGAAATTACAGAGGTACTTACCTCCTCATCACTCAATGAATGGGGGGGAAAGAGTTCTAATTTGTCACTTCCGTTCACTGTGCCCTTTTAAAAAGGAGGAGAAAACAACTCATCCTCCCCCACTCTTACCGCAGGGCAATCTGAATTAGTCCAACTCAGACCACTGAGATGAACTTTATATTTTTCTGAGAAAACTACCTACGCTCTTCATTGTACTACTCTTCATTGCCACTTCTCGCTGGTGTTTCCATCTTAATCTGTGACATAGGAAAACATCAGAATGTCCATATGGAACCTTGGAGTTTATTTCATTCCACACCAAAACTCCTGAAGGATTCTGCCGACAGAGGCTCTCAGAAGTCGATTGGAAGGCTTTTGGACTATAAAGTATGTCACAGTGATTTACGCCAGGGTGTGATTCTCATTACCGGGAAGAGAGAGAATAGAACATTAACAATGAGACCAGAGACCAAAAATAGAAGAAAGATTAACTACCCAGTCTTACTTTGGTGAAACTCACATTTTAAAACCTGGTGAATTATCTTAGCTCTAATCTATCATTGCCCAAGTTTGTGAACATTTGTGTGGTCAGATCTGCTGAATCTGAGCCAAAGTCCAGGAGATGGGGGAGAAATCCGTTGCTAATTACTGGAATTGGAAGGAAGTAGATTGTCAGCAACTGTATTAACCTCATGCAAATATGCTATATAAATAGGAAGTTACCCCCGGCTCCTGTTCAACCTAACCATTGCTAAGCAATATTTTCCTAACTGCCACACAGGATTATGTGGAACAAATAATAATAACTACCATTTACATAGCAATTTCAAGTTTACAAAGCCCTTTACAAATATTGTCTCATTTTTATCATCACAAAAACCCATGGAGGTAGGTGCTATTATTATCCCCATTTTGCAGATAAGGAGACTGAGGTTAAGTGACTTGCCCAGGGAAGTCAATCAATGAAGAAACATTTATTAAGTGCCTACTGTGTGCCAGGCTCTGCTCTAAGTGCTCGGGATACAAAAAGAGGCAGAAAACAATCCTTGCCCTCAAGGAGCTTACAATCCAATGGGAGAGACAACAGGAAAATAGATATATACAAAGCAAACTCTATATAGGATAAATAAGAAATCATTAGCAGAGGGAAGTCACTTTACCTCTGTCTATCTCAGTTTTCTCAACTGTAAAATGGGAAAATTTAATAATAATGATGGGGATAACAACAATGCCTCTCTCCCAGGGTTGTTGTAAAGATCAAATGAGGTAAGGTTTGTAAAGTGCTTCACAGACCTTAAAGCATTCTATAAAAGCTAGCTGTCTTAAGTCAGAGGTGGAGGCTAAATGAACAGGATAAAATGAAGAGGAGAGAAGTAAGACTCTTTCGTCTTATCAGCACTGTATTGTTCATAATATTATAGTAAATGGAGGCTATATAATATGCTCTACTCCAATGCCTCATCACTCTGTGAGACCTTAGGTTGGTACATCTTTAAAAGGGATCCTAGGCATGGCCGCTTGTCTGTTTTCTGACTATCGCGAGACTAGGTAAATAATAATGATGGCTAGCATTTATCTAGTGCTGAAGCTGAATCTGAACTCAGGTCTTCCTGACTCCAGGTCCAACACTCTATCCACCATACCATCTCACTACCTCTGATAACTAGTATTAATAACATAGCACTTCAACGTTTGCAAAGCCTTACCAAACATGTAGTTGTTCAATCATTACTAACTCTTCACGACCCCATTTTGGGGTTTTCTTGGCAATGATACTAGAGTAGCTTGCCATTTGTTTCTCTAGCTCATTTGACAGATGAGGAAACTGAGGTAAACAAGGTTAAGTGACTTGTCTAGGGTGACATGGCTAATAGGTGTCTGAGGTCAGGCCCAGCACTCTATCTACTGTGCTATCTGGCTGCCCTGTCTCATGTGATCTCCCAACAAGCCTGGGAGGAAGGTACTATTAGCATTAGGTTGGTTCCTGGTCTGTGCTTGCTCCCCAGTACTCAGCTGTTTACTTGGTATCAGTCCAGGAAGGCTCTGCCACCTTGGTCTGGGTGGCTTGCCTCTGGTCAGAAATCCCTGCCCTGCACGTAGGGCTGCAAATCCAAGCCTCAGTCTCTAAACTGGAAGGTTTCTGCACCGACCTGCCTGGATAGACTCCCCCTACCCAGTGCCCCCCGTCTACCTCCCTTTACCAACCTTTCCGGGCAGTTTCTTCATGGATTTTCCTATCAGCACGGCGCTCTTCCACCATCGTGGCTGAAGTGGTTACTAAGAAAGCTATTCTGTATCGTTTCTCTTCACTCTGCCACCTTGTCAGTCAATTTCCTCCATTCTCATTGGTTTCTTAATCTCTCTCTGCTTGTTAATTCTTCTGCTTATCAGTCTGAGCTGGCCTGAACACTAGAGCACCACAGGGTTTGTTTGGAATCTCCCTGGAAAGCATTTTCTTACAAATTCTTGGGCAACTGAGTGCTGGACTAAGAGAGACCTGAGTTCAAATTCTGCTTCCCACACTAATAGTTGGGTGACCATGGGCAAGGCATTTAACTCCTCTCAGCCTCAGTTTCCTCACTCCCATGATGGAGACAATAACATCTACTTTACAGATTTGTAAAAATTGAATAGGCTCATAACCCTAATATGGAAAGTGCTTAACAAACCTTAGATTGATATATAAATGCTAGCGATATAGTAATAATTATTATTCTCCGTTGATGAATCTTCCATTTTCATCCAGATGGCCCAACCCTGTCATGTGTACTGACAGCAGTGAGTTTACAAGAGTTATCGGTCACTCATTTTGTGTTGTACAGAGAGAAATGGGTGGCACAATATAAAGGGAGGAGGTGTTGTCTATGCGAAAGGACTGACCAGTATAACTTGTGGGAAATAAAAGCAGCTGGTACAAACTTTTCTGACTAAAGCCACTAGGTGGTGCAGTGGATACAGTTCTGAGGCTGGAGTCAGGGGGCCTGAGTTCAAATGCTACTTCAGAAACTCACTAGCTACGTGACTTTGGGCAAGTCACTTCCCCTCTGTCTGCCTTACTTTCCTCATCTGTAAAATGAGGACCACAATAATATCTACCTCCCAAGGTTATGAAAATCAAATGAGATAATATTTGTAAAATACTCTGCAAACTTTAAAGTACCATATAATTGCTAGCTGCTGCTACTACTACTACTATTACTACTACTATCACTACTACTACTACTACTATCTTTATTTTATTATTATTGTTGTTATTGTTATTATTATTATTATTATTATTATAGCAAGGGAAACAACTTACCCAGCTCAATCTCTTTCCCCCTCATAGAGAGAATGGCTGAGTGGTTCAGTTTTGAGGCAAGGAGGGAAGACTGTAGTTCATCTCACCCAGTTCCCTCTCTGCCATTGGCTCTCAGGGCAGCGAGGATTGGGCTTCTTTCTCCAGCTGTTACCTCCAAACAGCAGCTTTCAGAGTCTTTGTGGGAAGCGACAGAGCATCGCAAATGCTTGACTCTGCAAAGTCCACAGTGTTAAGATGAAAGGTGACCCTCTGGGACGATACCGCATCCCCCAGTTTCTTGAGAACGCATCCAAAACAACTCCTCCCCAGCCCCCAGTTCCAAAATGTTAGGGGTTGGTGGAATCCTTGGGAAGTATCTCTTTGTCTCTCTCTGTCTCTGTCTCTGTATGTGTGTATGTATCCATGCATATGTGTATATGTATATATGTGTGGTATACACGTGAGTATGTGTGTGTGTATATATATATGTATATATTTATTTTGTATATTCCTGAATTAGAATCTGAGAGTCAGAATAATTATATATATATACATATATATATATATATATATACAGACACATATACATATATACATATGTATACATATGTACATGCATAATTATTCCGAGTCCCAGATTCCAATTCAGGAATATACAAAATAATTTTCGATATAAATACAACATAATTTCCATATGCGTATATAAAATAATTACATATACAATAATATACATTTATTAAAATGATGTTGGTGACAAGGATGGAGAAAACACTAAAATTGGGAAGATCAAATTTGGTTTCTTGTCTGAGATGGACCCTAAGCTGTGCTTTGAAGGAAGCTAGGAATTCTACAAAGTGGAAGTGAGGAAGGCTGGAAGATGCCTTATATAAT